TTTTGTTGTTTTGGTATTACCCTTCAACCTCTAATGCTTGTTTAGCTTATTGTATCTCTTTGGTGCTGATTTTCGAAGCTTAGATATAGTCAAATTTAGGAAATTTTGAATTTTAGGCCTTATAATTTGACTAATAACTGACAACGATGATTAGTCTAATGGGGAGCACTCCATTAACTATGACTAAATTCAGCTTGCACTAATTAGTGTGTTAAGGTAATTCCCTTGTTTTGCACTGCGAATTTTTCTGCGCATGCATCTGACTAAAAGCATGGAGCTAACAAATTTTTGGCATTTTTCTTACGGAAACTAAATAAGAAACATGTTAAACCAATTTTCACTTTTTCTCTTTTTTGAGTAGAGAAATTGCGATTTTTATCTGACTCGTTCCAGTCTCCACTCGGAAAAGTGTCAGTTTTTGACTATTTTGAGATGCTTTTTCAAGATAAATCAAAAACGAGAATGGTGACCCCCATTTCTTATTTCAGATTTTTGATGAATGCGATGCTCGTCATTATATATCAAAATATGAAGGAAAGTTTATTGGATAGATTTTGAAATATTTTGATTGGAATAGTTGACATGTGCAATTTTTGGACGTTCATAGAGGCGCACATACCTGCATTTTTTCACTAATAGCTCAAGAATCATAGTCATACAATGACTTTGATGGATTTATTAGTATAGATTATTTAGTAAACGTAACTTCGAGTTATAAGTACGTTTTGTTATATGAAAGTAGTTTAAACTATGAATAAAGGATTTTGCATTGATTACAGCTTCCTGTTGCTACCGCATTAATTTTCACTATAAAACCCATAAATTGACATATTTGGAGAGCATCTAGCGAAAAAACGAGAATGGTGACCCCATCTTTTTATTGCAGTTTTTAAATGTTCATAACATAATTAATGTCCATGCAAAGTTTCAGGACAAAGCTATCGGCAAAATTTCTTTCAAGGGAATTTGTACCTTAAGAAACTGATAATTCACGGTATATATCTGCATTCGTTTTTTCTACTTCTTAAAGAAGGTTTCGTATACATGAAAAATGCGGTTGTTGGCATTGGTAAGTCAAGAATCACTCCACCTTCTGCAGGGCAACGGACAGACAGAACATCTTTTAAAACAAGACCTTATTATGTTGATAAAAAGAAAGACTACATTGTTCCACTGGTACATGCCTACACTACAACTGCACAAAACACCCGACGACTAGCTGAGTATTCTCCTTACTTTATAAAGTATGGTTGACAACCACAATTACCGCGGTAGTAGATCTCGAACTAGGACTTGGCGAGGACCCGCAACCGCATGATGCAGCCTTAATTTTTCCTCTGTATGCAGAAAACCTCATCTAACTTATGCTTATGGAATTGCAATCAGGAAGTCGTGAATAAAACTACAGAGCTCAACAAAGACTGATACGATGTGAAGTCGGTGGTGTCCTCACTATAACCTGGGGACTCTGTGCTGGTGAAAAATCTCAGCGCCAGAGATAAGAACAAGCTTTAAGATCGATGAAAAAAACATCCCATTGTCCTCCATAACTGGAGACCTACCTGTTTACACTGGCCATGAGGAGACTTGACAGACCAAAAAGAAGGCGGGTACTACACCATAACCTACCCTTTAACCTTCCCAAAGATCAAACTTCCCAAAGGACCAAGACAAGCAAGACAACCTGCTAAAAGTCCGCGATATGCTCCACCCCCGGATACACAAGATGGCATCACTTGCATCAGTGCAACAGGATTCCACAGAAGAAACAAGTGCAATGAAACAGGAATTAGCCGGCACCGATGGCGCGAGTCTGAATGTTGCAGCCCTGCCGATAACTCTGAAGATAAGATGTCAAACGACGATGACGAGGAAAGGAGGATSGAGTGGGCTATCAAGCGATGAGCACCCGGTCAAACCCTGAAAACTCGTTCGTCAGGGATGCTAATAAGAGTTCCACAGCCACCTGTGCGCTGCGGTTATATACTCTCTGGTTATCCATACTAAACCCAACTTTGCTCAAGAATAATTTTGACACTTTAAAAAACCTTTTGAGGATTGCTTACATTGGTCAACACAACTGTTATTTGTTTTATATATTAATTATCATTCTAATTTTACCTAATTTTGAACTCTTTTTCATATTACCTTCAAGACGAAGATTTTCCTTACTTACTTATTGCAGTGCATTAGCGGGAAAATGGTATTGATTGCCCCCCTCCCATCCCCCCNCCCCCCCCAAGAACTTTCTACGCCAATGACTTATGGGCCACTACTATGCGCTTTACTCACACGGTAGCTTTGTTTATCCTCATGGGAATAAAAAAACTTTTAACCCGCATAGATTTATTCTCAAGCACTTGAATGCGAGGCTACATGTGATGGAATCTATTATTCCAATCAATCAACATGGCTGCCACGTGAGTGCCACGTGCCGGAGTAAGGCCCATTCTATGGTTCTATGCTCACCGTAACTAACTTGGCACTGAAAGTGCTTTTAACTTAATTTACTCAGTTTTATACTAATTTCAATTAACTTAGCTGCCAGACTGAGACGCAACCCTAGTACCATAATCTGCGAGCACGAGATGACTGAAAGCGGAAAATTAAGTATATTAAAATGTAACGATGGCCTTGAGTTTTAATGTGAGATTGTGTGAGCCGTTATTTCGGAAACAATTTCAGCAATACATCAATCGGACAGAAAGAAAATAATTTTAGAAATTCAATAATGGATTTGCGAATAGCCAGCAGCTTGAACGGAAATGGAAGAGCCAATTTTCTGAGTATTGAAAATGACTAGGAGGTGTAATCGCCTGGATTTAAAGTACCCAAAAAGAAACTTCATGGATATGCTCTACGGAGTGAATACCGAGAAACGCGTCAGTGTTTGTGTTTCTATTAATATAATCAGTTTATGTACCTGTTGGGGATTCTGAATTAAGTATCCTTGCTTTGTTATGCTATTATTCACTGAGAGTTTCAGCTGCTTGCATTAATCAAAGTCACTGCCGGATAGGTATCAAGCGCGATACTTCCTTTCTTTACTGTGAATTGAAATCCAGTGTCTGCCTCGAAATCGAGAGAAAAAGTGAATATTTTCTGTAGAGTAGGTTTTTCTCATACTAATGGGAAAAAAGATTGAAAAATGAAATCATTTAGAAATAGCTAAAGATGTGCTAAATTTACAGAAGCGCTTTTATATTGAAGAAGGAACCCTTTACATCAAAAGCAAGACCATAGGTCTAGTGTCCTCGTTGGAGCCGCTCTACTTACAGTATGTCAGTTGAAAGGTTAGTACTTTGTGGAATGCTATCTGATCCATCTTGAGAATTGAACAAAAAATATCAAATTCTTTTCGGAGTCAAGCTCAATCATCCTATCTTGTCACAAAATGAACCCTTTCATTGATCAATTGAATATCTTATTTTGTAGTCGCTGTTCTCGTGACATGTTGTATTAAATCGCTGAAACACTGATGAATCTTAGATTTTATCTATCGATAAGAGATTAGAAACAAGTGGATTTTCTCGCGGAACCAAAAAAAAACATCACAAATGATTACAATCAGTAGATTTGTAGCTTTTCTCAAAATCAAAAATTTTCAAGCTATTCTCCTTTCCTTTTCTCAAGTGGTGTAAAGGAGAACAAGAGTTCAAGGTAAATGATCGACAACAGTTTTTATTTCCTATATTTTAATGATTTCACGGTGTCAAAAACCTCTGAGGGAATCGTATTTATATTTACAGATCAAAGTGAAAAGATAAGTCCTTGTTTGGGTGCGTAGGAATGAAATCATAACATTGAACTAGATTAATCCTCTCTTTTCTTCAAACAATTATTGTTTTCGTTATACTGGCTCGTTTTAGGTCTAATAGTTAGTGCTTGAGGGGAAGGCTAGACTAGACTATTCAGTCGGCAGATATTTTTTTACTGTGCTAGAGAGTTTTGTTCAAGTGTTTTGAAACCATAAAAAGTTCTCTTCATACTGAGGATGTTTTTAAAAGCGAAAGCTTCCTGATTGGTTTAGTTCTCTCTTCAAAGATTTCCGCACAGCAGCCTGCCATCGGTTATTCAGCGGTTTGGATACGGCCCTTAGCGACTTTTTCTTTCATATTCCAAAATCACATTTGGATCATCCCATGATTTTGTTCATCGTCACTCATGTCCCTAGTAGATTTGCTGCAACTCATTAACTTGATATCACTGGTGCAAGTCCACTGATTTCTTTGACTTTATGGCACTAAAGTGTAGCACCAGTTTGCAGCCATTAAACCCGCAGAGACCTCAAAACTGATTTGGTCAGACCATCACTTTAGGGCCAGCAAATTCAAGATGGTGCTGGAGGGGGGGGGGCACTAAAATAACAAGATTATTTTTTTACTGCTTTATTTTGACACATGAAATCGCTTAACATGACATTCAATAAAAATGTAGGTTTTCATTGTTATTCAAGGTTATATTCAGTTTTGGTAATTCTAAAGTCTGTAGTTGGTTTTCGTGCTTTTAGTCTGCAGGGTCGCCATGGTGATCTAGTCAGGTGACATGATCCTAAACCAATCAACTTGCATCAGTTCACCTGCTTCACTGTTGCCAAAAATACATGTATACTTCTAATCATAAATTCTCATCTCAAGGATTCCAATAGCCACAAGCTGCCGAAATATAGGCTTGAGGTCATTCAAGCAAACACGGCTATTAACTTGTCAATGAAAAATAACCAGCGATCCTTCAAAATGATGTTTATTTTTAAAGTGATTATACTGACATGTATAAAGCTAACCAAAACAGAAGGATTTTCGGTAGGCAATGTCTTTCACTTGAGGCGACCATGAGTAAACAATAATTATCTTCTATTTGGAGAAAAACGGTTTTCTAAAATATCTGTTTTGGGGAACTTTCATTAACATGTCAATCTTTTTATTATAATTTTTTTAAAGAGTTATTTCGGTCGTAACTAGAGAGACACCGAGGACGCATGCTGACAAACAGCTTTGTATTCTTATTTTCATATTTCATGGCTTGGTTCTTCTAAAAACAGATAGATACAGTCGATCCCAAAAACGTTGTCCAAGTGAAAAGAGGTTTATAGGACAATAAGTGTCACGTGTCAATTAAATATTCAGTTTTACGCGCGTGGATTTTTTTAATTAGCATACTGATGCAAAAGTAAATTACAGTATTGAAAACTGAATCTGAAAGATGCCGCGGGCTTTCTCGGATGATTTAAGGTGGAGAATGGTATACCAACATTTGTTTTATGCAAAAACATAYCAGGAGATAGCCGCTAATTTGTTTGTAAGTTCTAAAACGGTCAAACGGACGTGTGCGACATTCTACACTAGTGGAGACATTAATCCTTGGCCCGTCGGTCGACCTCTTCAAACAGGAACACTTTTTCCGCATGAAGAGTATATCGTCATGGAGTGTCTTCTAGAACATCCTGAAATGCAATTGAATGAAATAGCGTCGAAAATATTCAATACAACTGGCTCTGCTTTTAGTGCCCAARCATTATGCAGAACGGTCCACAGGCTTGGATTCACGCGCAAGAAGGTATGGTACGTGCAGATTGGTTTGCTCATTACTAACAAATAATTTTTCATGAATTTTAAATCCTTTTAAAGTTGCAGCAGATTGCTTCTATGAGGAACGAAAATTTAAGATTCCAATTTAAAGCTGAAATGACAGTTTTTGATCCAAGCCATTTGGTATTCTTGGATGAAACTGGAATTGTAAGTGTTGAAACTGCACAATATAATTTCTTTTGCAGCCGCAATTAATCTGATAATGGCACGCTTATTTGTATTCCTTATCTTAAAAATTCAAGGATAAGCGAATATCTCGTCAATACGGATACAGCCAACCTGGAACAAGAGCCTCTGTGCAAAACCGGAGTTATTCTARATGGGGACCTCACTATAATGCCGTATCAGCAATATCGTGCGATGGTCTCATCTCTTTGGAATTGTTGGGCGCAGGAGATCGATTTGTAACGGATACTTTCTCACGTTTTCTGAGGCACAAACTGCTGCCCATGATGAATCCATTCAATGGTCAGAATCCCCGATCTGTCATTATTATGGGTAAGCTGACCAGTAGTAGAACGCTCTTATCGTTATTCCTTTTCTGACAATACCTGTATCTTATTCCATAATTTTGATACTTGTTCAACAGACAACMACCCAGTGCATCACGTTCAAGAAATAATCGACTTGATCTACAACTCCGGGRTTATTGTCCGTTATTTACCTCCATACAGCCCCGACTTGAATCCAATAGAGGAATCATTYGCCTTGGTAAAGCACTATCTTAGGCAAAATGATTTGGTATTCCAAAGTCTTGCCGACCCTAAGCCACTTATTTGGGATGCCTTTGGCCAATTAACAGCAGATTTGTGCCAGGGATACATGCGACATGCAGGATATTTGTAAATATAGTGTCAGCTATACCATCAATGAAAAAATATCACATGGGATTCATGGTTAATTGTTGAGGCCCCGGTCAAACGCCGAACTGAACTTCACACGAGCGGTCAAAATTTAACCTCAGTATCAGGCTCTCCAAAGGGGGGGGGGAGGGAGAGAGTCCCCCTCGGAAGGCCTGATACTCAGGTTACCAAAATTAATCATTGAATAAACGAATCCAAAAATAGGTTTTGTTCATTTGTATTAGGTTTGGCTTATGTGAAATACTTCGAATCGACACGGGCCTAAACCGTATTCTTTCAAACAAAACGTTACATTCCTGTCCAGTCCAAACCAATAATTTGCAATAATCTTAACAATAACTAGCTACATGCACCGCTACTGAGCAATTGAAATAGAGACCGGTTTGCCACAGTGTTCGAGCTAAGSAAATCACTCTATACGGATTAATAGCGAAAAACAAAACAAAACAATTTAAAGGTCCTTCATTATTAGCTCTTTCTTTTGTTTATATTCTTTATCTGTAATTGCTCCCATGTCTTTCAATTGAAAAAGCTCCCGCAACTGTTTAAGAACTTCGGCTCWGTTACTGGTAACAGTATGGCTTGGCTGTTGACAAAAAGATAGCTATCAAAATCGTAATTGCGAAAATACAATGTAGCAAAAGATCGTGCAATACCTGTGTGCTTCCTGTCTGAATTGCACCTGCAATGGCAGTTCCAGCATTAGTGAGTACATCTACAAATGTTTCTYTCTTTGTTGGTCGTTTTGCTGGATTGGCGGTGAACATTGGAAGACCGGGAATACTGTCTTTACCGGCAGTTCCAACACGCTACAATGTAGATTATAGAAAAATAATCAGTTATCACGCATATGGAATTCACACTTATTGCACGCACACGGTGTGCTATGCCGTTTGTTAATATCAATCAAAAGACGATGGATTGGTAAATGAATTGATCAATSTGGATGTTAGAGTGTGATGCAAAAAAATTTCTTACTATCATTTCAGCCCACAGGCGAAACTTGTACGGCGGGAGCACGTTTCCATGCATCTTTTTTAGCTCATCCATTATTTCAATAACTTGTTCGTGTTTGGTGGTCTGGTCTACAGTGCTTTCATGGCTTCCTGAGACATAAACAAGCCAGATAGTAATTATTAGATAGTGTATAGCGGCAATAAACCATCAACAATCAAATAATATTTTCGGCTGTTGGTTTTTATTTATCAGTACTATTGAATTGAATTACTCTGCGCGGAACCTTAGACTGAATACTATTAATGGAGGAAAAAAACACTACAAATAATATTATTGTATACCTACTTTTTCTTCCAGGTGTGCACCCGCCGTCCTCGTTTGCCCTGTTTTGGTTCTTTAAAGCTGGATCAATCCACATTTGGTTGCCATTTATGAAATAGCCATACGCAATTTCTAAATCTTTCGTCGAAACAATGGAAATCTTTTTCTTTCTTGCCAAAATATAGCCGAGCTGACAGTCTTGCAGAACGTTCTCTAAGTCTGGTAAAGCTTTCACTAGCTCAGAACGTAGCTCTGAAACGGTCTCTAACACTGGAAAATTGGGTAAACTTCTTACAACGTAGCTAGACTTCTTCTTCGAGTCCAAAACCCGAACTTCTAAAGTCGAAAGAACTTGTTTTGAATTACCCGCCGTCGACATTTTCTGCCACGCATGTGATGCAGCACGTTCAGATTCCTATTTCCACACGCGCGTAAAACTGAATATTTAATGAGACACGTGACATTTATTGTCCTATAAACCTCTTTTCACTTGGACAACGTTTTTGGGATCGACTGTATAAATATTTATTCTGGAGCAAAATATATAAACAAAATATCAAACTCACTTATTTCGGAAGACTTAGGATTTTAAAGTTTGAAAAGTTTGACTTGCATCGCCATGATTATATTTTTGGTTGTTTTCGTCATGTGTAAAAATAGACTGAAATACCACAACACATGAATAATTTAAACATCTCACCAATCTTCAACAGTGACATGTTTGTCCTAGCCAGCTGATGTTGGATTTTCTTAGAGAAATACATTAAAAGGTACAGAATGTTGAACTTTCACTCATCTGGCAAGACACCAATATTTTGTATTTTTGGAAGCCGTCGTATGGGTTTCGCTTACATTGGCTCGACTTCATACGGCTAGTCAACTAAAAACTAAAAACTGACTGAGAGCCTAAACTAAAAACCGAAAATTGAAGAGCCTAAACTTATAGAGAAAACTTGTTTTACCTACTAAACGAACCAATATCTTGATAAGGTAAGCTGGAATATTAAGGGTTTTTTTAATATGAAAACTAGCTATGGTTTGTGCAAACATAGTGAACTAGACCGACATTCATTTGGCAACTGTTTATCCGGCTTTACCGCCTTTTCGTGGCTTTCTTGTACTTTTGTGGCTATACTCCTGTTATATAATTAAGAGGTATAAGTTGGTAAAAAAAGGTTTATTTTGGACACAGTTAACTATGTTTTGGACTAACTGTTTTAGTTTTAAACGACTTACGATGATTAAGAATTCTACTTTTCAATATTGTCTGACTACTTTCCTTTTCTCAGTGATCAGATTGTCAGTCACTGAAGTAATAAACTCTCAGAAACTGGCTGAAGAGGATTTGAATCTTGTTCGATCAGCCAAAAGCCACTTGTGTTCAACGGAAACCAACTTTAGCCCTGAGATACAATGATATCTAAATGTCAATGAAATGAAGTATAGCGTGATAGCATACCTTATATGCCTTTTTCTAGCCGGCGATGAAGCTTTGTGTGCTGCATTAACCTGAGTGTATGTCAATACGCTAGCTCGTGCAAGGAATCATACATGTATTCAAATGTAAACACGTATTGATATTGAAAATCGAAGAGTTGGTGCATATATACATGCCGCACATATATTGTTTTCTATCATGACTATATAGTAGCACAGGAGATAAACTATGCTATAATACAGTGCAAGGCATGGTATACGTGCGCAGACCGGCGTCCCGCCTGGCAATATTATGATTGAGTATATTGATAACATCTAGTATATCAAGCCGTAGTAAGTGGTCTACTCAGGCTTTGGTTAAGGGTTTCAATCCTATAAATGGAGTAAAGGACCCTCTCTTTTTCAACCTTCCGTCCGCCCTGTCATTTCGCAACAATGATCAGTCATTCTGTATTTGACCTCGTATCACTTTCCCCGCTAGAACGTGATGTTTCATCTATTTACTTTGTTTCAATAAATGTTGGAAATTATTTGCTTAACATGCACTCCTATTTTGATCCTGGCCGTTCGTTCATTTGCTCAGCTGCTTGGTTTCTTTTCAAGTTAATTAGTCAATCCTGGCTCGGCTCAAACAATCTGCCTGATTGACCAATCAAATGCAATCGAGGTGTCGATAATCGCGGAAAAAAATTGTCAGATCAGATGTGGCGATGGTCTGACTAGAATACAAGACTAGGATACTAAGTCGCGAATTTTAGACGATAAAAACAGTCAAGTAGTCACCGGTTTAATCGATCGCTCAAAGATTTATGAGCGAGTGGAGAACCATCTCACTGAACACAACAAGGTATTGTAAGACTGTGTGTTGATATTAAGTAATAAGTTTAATTCATAGCCCCAAAGAACTACGGACGTCATAGGTGTTGGAAAACAAGATTACCGTGTGATTCTAAACAAAACCAGGCATTGTGAAATCTTTTATCTCAAAACTTACTTCAGAATCTAGCCTTTTATGCGGTTGACACCTCAGAAATAGCGATTTTTAAGTTGGATTTCATAGAGTTAAGTAAAATGCCGTTTGCCATAGAGTAAACTTTTGTTAGTTCGGTTTTTGACAGATGCGACCAAGGGGCCCTGATGTTTCAAGTAAAAATGCTTCATATCATCATACCCTTTTGTTATATATGAATTAGATGACCCAAAATACAAGTACTGTTTTACATGCGATTCTGTATATAAAAATACTGGCCGATTACCGACTGATTTCAAGCTAATCCTTTTTTTAAATTACAGAATGTCTTAAAACCATTTTGAATAATTCCTTTTATGTAATTTCAAAAAGTTATAGCTCAGTTTGATGGCGAGTATGACTGAGGGAAAAATACGAGCAGCTGCAGGTGGTGTCAGTGATCGGCGATAATCAGAACTGAATTCTTCATTGAAGCTTGTCTGCATTCACCTCTATTTTAAGCAATTCTAGATAAAATTTTACTCAGTTATTTAAATGTTTTTATTCTGATCAAACATGTACAGCTACATGCCTTATAGAGTCGCTAAAGAATCGAGGTTGAACGCAAGAGAAAATCCAGATAATCCCGTAGATCAGTCATATATAGTACGGTCAGTTAGAGCTTATTGTCTTCAGTTGTTGAGGCCATTGTGTCCTGCTGTGGCCAAGCTATAAAAACAATTATAAATCCGAGCTAAAAGCACGCTTTTAAATATACTATACTATGCCCGTGCAAGAAGCATTAGTGATGGTACATCAATCTTTTCCTGTCAGGACTTGGACTGAATGACTCACTGATACGACCTTCGTAGACCCTTTTTTCACATATTTGCTACATCGCTTCATAAATCTTTTATTTCCGTGGGTAAAAATATCACTGTACAAAAATTGCTTTGTTAAAATGGATGCCATGTCGGCCGAGGCCTTTCATTTCATGCGTGAGCCAGTTCATTAATACACTCTTCGAGTGGTTTTAAGTCTACAATGCCGGCAATACAGGAGTGACCTTAGCTATCTGGATAATCTATTCTCTGTTAATTGTACAGTCACGTATCTCTAAGTAAAAAACAACCAGACAAGACTACCCTTTATATTTGGGTATTCTTTGGTTTCAAAATCCAAACATAGTTAGCAATGGGGAATATAGCTAGGAAATGGTAGAATGGTATAGATTATTGTTTACGTGAGATTACTTGTTGATGCATTTTGCTCACAAAGATATCAAGACTTTATATCCATAATATTGGTCGACCTTGGCCAACATTCATCTTTTTTTATGGAAAATGAAATCGTATTTCAAGGTGCTTTAGTAAGCTAAACGAGTCGGTCATTGTATTTTGTATGAATGTACTATTATACTTTTGTTCAATAGTGGAAAAGTATAGGCGGACTGAGAGAAATGGTAAGGTAAGAGAAAGACAGACGACAGACAAGAGCTGAGATAGGAAGAAAGAAAGAAAAGAGAAAAGAAAGGGGTAGGAAACGAATCAAAAACAGAGCGGAATGACAGAAATGAGAAGGAAAAAGATAGAAAGAAAGACAAAAAAGATTGGTAACTGGCCATGAAAAAAAGGAAAAAGAAATAAAGATGAAAGAAGAAAGGAAGAAAGAAAGGAATATAAACAAATATATAAATTAGGAAATGGAAAAACAGGAAGGAAAGAAGGAAGGAAAATAGAGAGAAAGAAAGACGGTGTGAAGAATTTCTTATGATCTAGCTTAGTGTTTTCATTTCTGCATATGCAATCAAGCCTTCGCTGCCGCGTTAGGTTTTCTCTTTAACTTCTGTAGTGTTAATCACACAGGTTTTAGCAAAAACTTTCTTTCAAAGTAACTGACTACCTTTCACCCTTCGATTTAAGCCCACGATGTATGTGCGCGCGCTCAAAAACCGCTGAATAATCTTCGCAATTTTATTGAAGAACCATACATGTTTTGAACTTCAAGAGGGAAAAAACCCTCAAATTTTGCACCGTCGACTCTCTATTTTTTATAACAGGTAATATCCCATTATTTTTCAAAGTTTAAGACAATTCTGTTTATCAGAACAATGTAAAAAAATCGTTCTGTTTGTTTTGTGCTCATTTTTGTACGATAACTTGCACACCGTAGAACCTGAACAAAAAAGTTTTTCCATTGTCTACAATAGTTTATTAAAACAACTTTTATCAGTATTTTATAAATATAGTATAAGAGTACGTGTTCGGAGAAAATTACTCATGTTTCTTCCTTAGTTTCGGTTTTATAATTTTATTTGTACAGAGCTTGATTTTCGCTATTTTTATGTGATTATCTCAAAAACAAGCTCGGGACACCTCTTTTTTTTTTTTTTTTTTTCTTTTTGCATTTTTGACATCAGCATTAAATTTCAGATTAAAGAAGTTTCAATTTTCAATTTTCTGTTTATTATTTATCAAAGTAATCAGCCACCTATTAACCGAATAAAGTGGACAGGATCCACACACTAATGACCCAAGAAACAATACCTCTTGAAAGAAGCGGGTTGGGGTGTGGCGGGTAACGGGACTTGAACATTTGACCATAGTTTAAACACATTAAATGGCCTTCGTCTATACTGATCTATACCTTTCCTATTTTGAATAAAGTAGGAGAGGAGAGGAGAGGAGAGGAGAGGAGAGGAGAGGAGAGGAGAGGAGATACGACTGCACACCGCCTTTGTTCTTCGAGAACGAAAGATATACTATATGCGTTGTATCGATGCTGCTGCTTGGAACGCACTACTACAACCGGAATGATAATTTACGCGAGCACTTGAGTGGTATCAAAACATGACGAGCTTTTAATACAACCTTTTAAAAAATAGCTGAAGCTATATTGCTTTATATCAGCTATGAAAACGAAACTAGCTATATTCTCCAGTTACCATACAATAAATCTCGCATGCCTCGTGTACAGTAACCCACACATTACTTGAAATTACTAACTTCAATGTCTCGTTCTACCAGCATTTCGAAGACCGTCAATCAAAGAACTGAAATGTTTAAAAAAACTGTCTTTTGGGAGATTTTATTAAAGATTTTAACCCTCTAATCCTCTAAAATCTCTTTAGGATTAAAAATCTCAAAATATTGTTTTTGATTTCAGTTCTTTGATGGACGGTCGTCAAAATACTAGTTTGCAAATGAGACATTGAACTTCGCTGGTCGCACTACAACGATAATAGTAGTAAGTGAAGAAGGCTGCA